GTGTGTGTAATGATGTACATAGCAGCCTGAGAGCAAGAGAGTGTGTGTGTGTGTGTGTGTGTGTGTGTGTGTGTGTGTGTGTGTGTGTGTGTGTTTTACAACATGCAGAGGCTGTAGAGAGTTTGCAGAGGCAGACTGCTGATCTTAAGTTTTATTTCTTTGCCAGGTATTCTGATAAAAATGATTATTGTTTCTGTTCCCTTAATTACAATTTGCCGAATGCGGCTCCAGTGGCCGTGACATTTGATGGCAATGATGCTCCTAAATTCACAGTGCGATTAACAGTCAGAAAACAACAAACTATTACCGACAGAAAAAGCTGGAAAATGGAAATAAACTATTTGACATTAGGCCTTTGTCTATAAAATGCATAGTATGTAATTCATATGCTGTAGTAAAAGTTAAGGTTAATGAAAACAAAAAAAAACTATACTACCATTTAGCATGTCGTTCAGCTCAAAGTTGAGGGCTGGAATCTGAGGTGAAAACAAATACAAATACACATTGTGCTTATATTAGGGCCATCTTTATGTTGATGGAGCCATGACAGTAAATAAGTGGCGGCCACTTCAAACAACATCACTGAATTGAGGAACAGTGGGTTCTATTGATGTTGAAAGCTTTAAGGAACGATGCCATATTAAATGTAATGCAATTATATCAGAAATCCAATTAAAATCCAGTTAAGACATAAAAGGACCTTCCCTTTATGTCTTAACTGTATTTTAATGTAGCTCGTTTTCAACTGCTTTTCACTTACAATTTTTTTTTACAAGTACTTTCGCATCCCTACAAGGAAAGCAGACTGATTAAATACGACTGCGGAGCTACAGTATGAATTGAGGGATTCTATAAGAGTTTGCGTGACATCTCCACCTAATTTGAGCCTCAGGCATTAAGCCAATAAATAAAAAAAGAATAGATGCCTTTCTCACAGACTCAAAAAGAACAGGAAAGGCTGTGTGAGCTCAGAGACAATTGAGCGCTGCTGAGACGGAGGAATATCGGACGCTTGTTTCATCAAGTCGTTGACTGATGGATTAAGTAACCACAAAGATGCAATAAAGATTCCTAGCAGACGTCATCAGGGGTGAACCCAATATCCTGTTTGAAGGTACCGTCTGTCTTGTTGGTTGAGACATCATCTATGGATCAGTGATTTAAAACTCAACAGTGACAGAATCAGTGACGTCACTGATGTGCAGTGACGTCTCATTGGTCATTACACTGTACAGTGAGTCATGGCTTCACTGATCCATTTAAACACCTCAGTTGTACCGTGGTTTTAAATGTTCATCGCGATTTTAATTTCACATCACTGTGGCTCTTTGCATTTTGGGCTTCGTCCAAAGTGAAATACGTTATTTACATTACAGGAAGTAATGTGCAGTAATTTCAGCAGCGTTACAAGTGATACTGTGACACACTGTGAATGTACCAGATGAGTCTGCAGATAGCATCACTTAACACACACACACACGCACGCACACACGCGCGTTACAGGTGGGCGTAGATCAGATGAATCATTGATGACCGGGAATCGGTGTCTATGTGGTAGAGCGCGAGAGAAAGGGACAGGAGAGCACGTGCCAGCCAGGGCCCAGCTGGTAGCGAGCCATTTAGGACGGGTTACGTAACAGCTTTGTGGCTGCTGCAATACTTGATTTTACACACACAAACACCTACACACTAATTCCCATCCGCACGCACAACACACCAAGCGGACAGACACTCAGTGTAACACAATTCTACTCTTTTGTTTGGCACCAAATCACGATCCTACCCAACCAGCACTCATATTGACAGTCTGTGTGTGTGTGTGTTTAAGGTCATCGTGTTTTAACGGTTTTCCCAACGACCCCCCAAAAAGAACGAAAGAATTAATACCAGAACACCACAGCGTTGAGAGGGCTGCTGCAGTAGTATCCTGCAGAGCCCAACGTGATCAGACTTCTATGCATTCAACCGCCTTGTTTTGCTCTATTCTCTCTCTCTCTCTCATCCCAAAATACTTTTTTCATAAGACTTTTTCAATTTGGTTACACATCCATAAATTTGCTGAGATGTGCGTTTGTCATGTTTCGTTGTCCGACTATCCAGAGAATAAATCAAAGCAGCGAGACGGAGATACTGCACACTTGTAGGGCCCAAACCTTTCAATTGCTGTAGATGATTGGTTGGCTACAATCTTAAAGTAAAGTAATATTAGTTATTTTTTTATTCTGATGGAGGCCAAAAGCAAAACACGTCAGTCTGAGAAAGTTGATCACTGTGGGAGATGAGACTATTAAGACTGCCTTCGCCGCCAGAAAACCTGCCTGTAACATCAAGACACATCTAAAAGTAGATATTCTTGTCTATATATTTGCTAGTTGAGTTCGTGACTTAATTTAAAGATTTTTTTTTCTGAACTCAATTATTCCTTATGATCGGAATTATTGAGACAAACTATCTGCTCGACAGCATTTTAGGAGGCGTTGATATGAATTCCTGACTCTTCATTACCTCATCGCAGAGAGATACCATGGCCTCGCATCAGAGAAACCACCTTTTGGAAGACCTGCTGATGCATATTAATTCAATATCGGTCACCTTTTTATAATGCAAATTGTTTATTATAATGCCACCACTCCGAGACTTCATTACATCCTTCAACTTGTGTCAGTGGATTGATAAGAAGAGCGCTAGACTTGGTTACTGTTTAACCACACTGTGTCCCAACAGGGTAGCAGGCCAGAATAGTGAAGACTACCTGAGAACAGAGACCCATCTCTCTCGGGCAGCGAGGGGGGGGGGGGTAAATTGAAATGCCTGGCACCGGCCTAGAGGCTCAGTCTTATTTTTTCGATCGCTCGTCGGCTGCAGTCTCACGCTTCACTCGCACAATGTGCACGTCTGCAAAGTAAGGAGGGCTGCAAAACTTTGAGGCTCCAACACAGAGACATCTGTAAGCTGTCTGGTACAGCTCGCCAGAAAAATATGAATTAGGGGTGAAATCAAATGTGTTTGTCTACAAAACCCAATCCCTGTGGCTTTGGTGTCATCTTAAATAAAAGTGCATTGCCTCCCTTTTCACACCTTGCAAACACAAAACTAAAGAACTCCACCATGACTTGAGCCCTGGTGTTTTTGATGATACTGCGGTGGAATACACTCAAAAAAAAATAGGTGCATAAAGCTGCAAACTGCATTGCAAGAGGTACCGAGGGACCGTTTCCTGTATGACGGTTTCCTGCGTGAGCACAGTACGCGCGCTTGGTCTACTGACCGCAATCATCTGGGCCACGTAGCTCTCTGGGCCGGTGTATTCGGTCGGATCCTTCACCTTCACCAGAACCAGGAAGTAGAGGTAATGCCACATGTTGTGTTCGGACTTGATGTGTTCCTCGAAGGAGACCGTCTTGTTGTCAAATTTGTCCCTCTCCAACCCTGCAAGAGCACCAGTTAATGGTCTTCTAAATATACCGTTCTTTCAACGAGCCGTCATTTGCATACAGCATTGAGTGAACCACACAGTCGTACACACCACAGATGAAACAGGTGGTTTTCAGGATCTCCTCCTTCCTTTGTTTTTCACTTCTCAGGTCAGCGAAAGTGTCGATGATAACACCAAAGATGAGGTTAAGAACGATGATGATGACGATGAAGAAGAACAGAAGGTCGTAAACCACTCGGGCCGCAAACAGCGGCTCCTGTAATGCCCCAGGTCACAGGTAAGAGAGAAAATGCAGTTAACTTAATTTATGCCATCACTACAGTTGTTAAACAGAAGCTACAGCAGCAGAAATTACATGTATTTATACTTCAAGTCATTACAAATAGACAACAGACAAAAGGAAGAAGTGGACACAATCCTGACTTACCGCTTTGGAGGGTCTCCGGAGAATGTCTCCCACACCACCTCCGTTACGTAGTCCCTGGTTCAACACCGTGATGATGCACATGAGCAGGGTGTCACACACCCGCTCTGTCCCATCGTCTACAAGACGCACAAATTGGAAACGCATAAAACAGCAGACAACAAGGACAAATATTGGCATCTATCTAGTATCTACATTTGGGTTATGAAATCACATGTTTTACAGTAGCTTTTCCTTTTCATCTCTTTGTTTTACACATTTTAATAAGGTAATGGATTAACTTAATTTAAATAAAACTCACAACCAGAACATGCATCTGAATTCAACCAAGCTGAACAAAATTAAATTTCAACCAAGAGTCTGAAGGATTTCAGGAACACTCAGAATGAAATAATCCAAGTTTCTGATAATCTGATAATATATCAAGGCGCCTCTAAAGATCAAGTGTAAACCTTAAATTTGCCTCCTTAAATGTGAGAACAAAACCAGAAGGAATACTATTCATATCTCATGTGTAAGGTACATATACTGTGAATAGATGACGCAGAAGGAGGCGGCGAAGGATGTGGATGAGATCATGTGTGCAGGTGATCGAGGGAGATGAACAGACACAAAGAGCAGAGTGAGTCACCCCGTCTGCCTTATCAAGTGTTCTTGTGCACATCCAGTGCATGTGTGTGTGTGTGTGTGTGCGCCACCAAATGACTGACGCAAAGGTGAAATATACTCATCTGCCTCACTGCAAAATCGTGACACTTTTCCACCGAAAGATTTTTTTAAAGAAAAGCATTTTAATCAAAACTTACCAGGAACATTCTTAGGTGTTGAAACAGGACATTTATCTTTCAAACATGAGTCAGCAATTCCTTTGTTACCCAATAGATCCTCTTTTCCTTCAAAAAGAAAAGAAAATAGAAAGGGGAAATTATGCAAGATTGATTAATGATAACGACATTGATAATTTGAAGTTACATTGTGTGCGAACATTAAAACGCCTTCCCCTCTCATTCTCATCAGCATGGTTAAAGTCAGCGAGAGAGATTTAGTCAGACGTTATGTAAACTGAGGCAGCAGCTGCTGGGTGGGCGGTGAAGTGCTGCTGAAAGAACCTGAACAAATCATTTGCACATCGGTAAAGCCCTGAGCGGCAGCGGAGCTGCGCTTGAGTGTGATTGGCTCCGGCAGACAGGCAGAAGACGACCTGTTCACTGTGGCCAGAGTGTCTCCGAAAGGGCGTCTGTCCCTGACGGGCTGAAGGACAGAGGGCAGGGCTGAGACGAGAGGCACGGGAGGAAGAAGAAAGAGCGGAGGGGACAGCGGGGCGGCCCACAGCCGGCACGTGTGGGACCGAGTGCTCCTCAGCTCTGACGGAGCTCCGCTTGTGCATCGGCAAACAGACAGATAGGCGTGAACCAAGCTGGTTACGTAAACCCACCACTGCTCCGCTGGGTCTGCAGCGCTCTGCTCACAGAAGGCACAGGGTGGCTTTGCCACCAGGTTACGCAACAGGTGCGCATGTGCTGGCAGGTTGTTGCTCACTCTCGGAGCACCATACGGACACTGAATATTTTCATTTTTATGTACACACACACACATAATGTCTTCACTAAAGTAGGTTAGCAATAATTAATGCCGTACAGACCCACCAGGGAACATGTGGCAGATGACATCCAACAGATGTTTATACCTGGAATCAGCCAGTGAATTTCAATTGAATGTGCAGTGTCTTAAAGCACTGGGACACCTTGTAATTAATGAACTCACATTTTGCCAAGACGGGAGTCTCCTCGTTCTACTTTAGGCTCATCCATTAAAACAACGCATGCGTCTTCACAGGTTAAGAAGTGCTGACCTGGTCCCGGAAGGCGATCCACCTGCATTCGGAAGTCGTCCTTGAGGAAGAGGAAGCCAATGATGGAGAAGAAGTAAACGAGGAAGATGGCCAGAACTGCGGTAAGAATGATGGAGCGGCCGTTTCTCGTCACGCTCTTTATCACGTTGAGCAGCGTCTCCTCTCGGATGACCAGGTCAAACAACTGTGCAGAGAGAGCAACATCAGTGAGTCATCAGCACTGTAAAAGGAACCAAAGTGTGTGAGATATTTCTTACCAAAAAGCTGTAGAAGAACTCGTGCACAAAGAGGCCCAGGACGCAGACGATGGCGTAGCCCAAATGGTAAATAAAGAGCATGTCCATAATAACGGCTTTGTAGCCTCGGGTGAACGTCCCCTGGTTTCCCACAAAACTTACAAGGAAGACCAACTTGTTGAATAGCTGAAAGAGAAGGAAACCATGTTCAGGCATGGAAAGAAGTCAACAGCTCTGATGTGTGAAGAGGCAAGAGGGGACAATAACACAGAAACGAAACTTCCACTACTTACATTGACAGCACCCAGCAACAACAGAGCAGGGCCGAGGCCCATAGTGTAGATGGCACGTAGGATGAGAGAGACCAGGAAGAACAGGATGCCCGACGGCTTGGGTAAGACTGGTAGGAGTGCTGTGAACACCACCAACGCCACCCACAGCGAGAGGTTCCAGAAGGGGGACAAGGTGCCTGGACGGAGGAATGAATCTTGAAATCTTGAGCACGAGAGACTAGTATTACATGTGTGCATTGCGTTGAGTCAATGTGTTGCTTGGATGTTTTTTTCTTCTATAAAGCTGCACTCCAACAGAGTACAAATGGGCGTGAGAGGAAATAAAAACCATTCTAATTGCCATAAGCACTAAGAAGGACGTCATAACTTGTAACTATCAACAGCATACATAAAAAGTATGCTACGAGTTGATCTTCTCCCTCCAACATGGGTGTAAGCACCATGGTGATCTAGACAAGGTGACTGTAAACTTTCTTTCATATGTGAGGAAACATCTGGCTTGACTTAAACATGGTTCTCACGTGTCTTTGAGTCTTTGAGAAAACAAAAGTCTTCACCATTAACAAAGTCATTTCCCAGCAAGACGGTGACCTACCAGAACCGTACATCTGGAAAGTCTTTTTGCATCCTTAAAAAGATAAATACAAAAAAGAAATAAAATTCTCACCCTCATCTCCATCATCGCCAAAGGGGTAGAATACGGCCACTGCGATGTTGAGCAGACAGGCTAGGTAGAAGGAGATGCTCCCCCAAACAGAGATGTGTCGTGAGAACCAGAACAGGGCCTTATTTCCTGCACAAACAGAAGAGGAAGCATAAGTACAGGGACACAAAACGCATGAACATGCTGCAGGCTGCATATCAATTCATTCTGGGAATAACAACGGCAGGACACCGCGGATGATCATCACGATTTACCACCCTGCAGCCCGCTTCAGCTGCCACCGTCGTTATTTTTCCCCCAAAGCGCGGCGTTCGGAATGTAGACTTACTGCGGATCTTCTTCTGCCACCTCATCTCGCTGTAGAGGTTGTCAAACTGCTGGAAGAAGTCGTTAACCTTGCTGCCCTGGTCGTCTCTCTCGGTGGTGGTGAACACGCGCACCATGGACTCCTCCGTGAGGTACTCGCAGATGTTGGGCACCGGAAACACTATCTGCTCCATGGTGCGGTCGTGACGCACGATCTGACAAATACGCGCCATTACGGGTTGGTAGGGAGAAACGTGCATGAGCCGGGTGTTTGAAGTCGTAGAGATTCAGACGATAAACGGAGGGAAGTGACGGTGAGTTTTACCTCGATCTGGGCCGTGTGATTGGCGTAGTAATGCACCGCCTCGTCCTCCTCGTTGTCGGGGTCCACACACGACCCCCGGGCCAAACCCCAATTCAGGCTCTGCTGCAGGATCTTATTGTGTCGGGCAAGCTGGGATTCAAAAGCAAAATCATGGCAAGATTTGTTTCAATAACCACAGAATAAGTGAATCTACTTCCAAACAGGATAAACTAACTGCGTACATCACAGACCAAGAGACCATTACACTATAAAGTAAGAATACACAATACAAATGTGAAGAGCAGTTTACGGTCTGCTTTTCCTTGGACTGTTTATTTAGATAATGTCTTCAAAACGATGCTTGATAAGCTCAAGTCTGTCATCACTGGGTCTTTGACCGAATCGAAAAGGATTTTAAAAATAGCAGTTCAAACATCCAATAAACCATCCATGTCATGGTAAAGTAGTCCCTTGTTTAGAAAAAACAAAAAAACACCTGTTTGCCAGTTGGGAAGGGAAACTCTTTAGAGCAAAATGTCACACTGCAGAGACTAGATGAAACTACTTTTTCTGTGTCACAACACATCCATCTCATTTCCTTACAGAGGAAAAACACATTTGTAATGCAGCGACTGCTGCCTGCGTCAGTGAACATCTACAGTCCACCTGTCTGCAGAACCAGAGTCACATCCTTTGAGCTCCTTCTAGAATCGTGCAGAGCGTTTCACGTGCGTGTGCGGTCACGATGGGGGCTGACGAAGAGCAAAGCCTGTAACGCCACTGGAATCGTCCTCACCTGGTGCGCCAGGATGTAAATGTTGTGCCCGACGTCTCTGGGCTTAATCCGGTCGCCAACACTGTCCTCATCGTCCTCACAGTCTATACCTTGGGCATAGGCTTCCTTGATGACATCCACCTGATGCACAAAAAGTATGAAAGGTACTCCCACTACTTAGTGTTACTTTTAACCCGGGATTACATGAGACTCTGCTGCGGTCGTTTACATGCTGCCACGCTTACCAGTTCGGTGGGTCTCATCTTGTAGAGAATCTTCTCTGCGTTCTCGCTGTCATGGCGACTCTCCATGATGGCCAGTAGCAGTTTGGAGGCATTGTTCTACAACACACAGCTTCACCAATGAGCCATTACATTCTGGTCGACCCACAGAGGTAAGTGATTCGGAGACTCACTTGATGAGTCAATGGCGCCATGAATGAGCGCATTTGAGTCGCCATGAATGCGCTCATTAGCAGAATTAAACCATTTGAAAGTTGTTGTTTTTATTGTGGAGTTTTAGGATTGCAAAGTTCAGTGGCCTAAACAGCCAAGTAGAATATGTAGCCAACAAACATAAGCCATCACATGGAGCTCTAAAGGATAACAGGTCTCCACTAAAACATGACCCTTTTTGACATCTTTCTCCCTTTTTTCTTAAAATCACCGGGAAGGAGGTCCAACCCCCACCGGTCATCTTGTGCCAAGTCTGTTGGGCTATACGGTCATTTATAGTATAAAAGCAAACCGCTTTTCTGCAGTAAAGGCTTTCAAGGCCTTGTGCGTCACAGCAAGTCACCTGCTGCTCACCTTGAGCTCCAGCACAAGGTCCAGTCGATGCTTCCCCAGGGGGTTGATGGAGTTCACAATCAGAGCTATAATTATATCAATGCCGTTTGACTCATGCTTGGCTATACAGCTCTGGAGAAATGAGAGGATAAAAGGGTATAGTTAGAGTGAATGCACCTCAGATAAGACCATAACAGGTCAGAAGAACAGTCAACTGCAAACTAACCGATCCTCCACCTACCTGGTTTTCATGGCAGGGTCCTTGTGAGTACTCGGTGATGGTTTCCAGGGTTTGCCGAACCAAGCCCACATTATTCTCGTTAATGTAAAGGCCCAGTAGGCCGAGGCCGCCAGTCGTGCTTCCACAAATACAGTCCAGGAACTGAAGAGTCTCACACACCAGATTGTAGTTGGTCTTGTTGGACTGGTTGCGCAGAAAGTTCTGGATTCACAGCAGAAAAGCAGTTAAGCAGCCGTCGATTTAGGAGCTACTTGTACCTCGAGGTTCATTCTGTAAAAAAAAGGGGGCCGGTACCTGCAGGTCTGTATTGTGGTTCTCACACAGCAGCTGAAGGAAACGCAGGATTGGTTTCATGATGGTGATGGCTTGGCTCATCGGAGTTTCTTCCAAAGCGTCTTCTGCCCCAACCAGCTCACTGCTCTGACTGAGGCCGTCGAGGTCGGGGTCCAGCTCCTTTCTGTAGGCGCAGAAGGCCTTTGAGGTGACTGAGGAGGCCTCCTTCAGCTGCCCTCGCATGTCCTCCCTTATATGCAAAGAGTCTCTCTCTAGACCACAACGAATAGAAAAAAAAACAATAAAAATGACTACTGCTTTTTTTATTATTGGACAGCACTGTAATATTTAAAAGAAAAAAATGACTTTGTAAATGGACGGATGAAAACAAGCAACATGCAAAAGGTTACACGGAAACGTATCAGCTGCAGCCTTCTCTACAACATTCTAGACATTCCAAAAAAGAAGCGGGCAACTATTGACGGGGTTCCTGTAGCATGAAAGTACATGATTTTGATAGAATGGCCTTTTGATAAGCTTGTGATGTGGGTCGTCACATGGCCCCTGACATGTGACTGCAGGAACTGGCAACAACAGGCAGTCAGCAGCGCAACAAAGATCATTTTGTATTCATACACCGCTATTGTTGAAACTCAAGCTTGAGGTAAATTTGAGGACCACACGTTGTGTAAAAGCGCTACGCTTCTAAATGTATATTTGTGACTCCTGTGCGGCTCTTCACTCAGGGTCGTACATGGCCACATAGTTCCATGTTACAGTGTCTCATATTATAATCTTTGTGACTTAATCATTCAATTTACGTTCTTGAGACCCTCTGAGTAGCCAGTTTAGTGGCCTTTGAGAACAATTTTTCAAATATTTCTGGTTGTGAACTCGTGAATGTTTTTTTGATTTGTGAAAAAAGTTGAGTATTTTTAATTACAAATTTACAAATTTACACATTACAAATTTACTCCAAGTGCTACAAATTACATTTAAAAAAAGTTAACACAATTAATAAAAAATACTAAAAAGTAATACAAATACAACAGAAATAATGCCCATCTGACCCCAACTGAAATGCGTATTTCCAGGTACATTTACCAGTATTATCCAAGTGGTTCACTTTATATGAACCAAAAGGAGCTGTGGTGTGCTGGTTAGAACTCAAACGTTAAAATGAATCATTATTTAAATCTACCTTTCTTTAACCGGATGCTACTGACGTCGGTGTCGTCGTCCCTTTTTCTGCAGCTGAGCTCAAACATGTTGACGGACACGGTGGCTCGGATCTCTTGCTGGGCC